TCCCTTCCTCCATCAGCGCCCCCCCCCCCTCCTTTTTACGAAAAAGAAGAGGAAAATTAAACAAAAATTGATTTTTTAAAAATGAAATACAGAAGGAAAGAACAAATATGGAAAAAAAAGAAATTGATGTGAGGAGAGTTTTCAACGTAACTTCAAAACACACACAGACAAATAATACTGACAAACAAACAAACAAACAAAATAACAAGCAAACAAACAATAAAACAAACAAGAGACAGACAAAGAGTCATGTACTCACCACGTTGATGACGCAGACGAGCAAAAGAAGGAAGCAGAAGCTCTTCTGTGAGGGTGTCTCCATCTTGCTGCGATAGTCAGACCAACAAGTAAAACGTCCACTTATCCAAGGTCAGCTTTGAGAAGCTGTGGAACAATTATAACCACTTTTGGGTGGAGGAAGGGGACGAAAATAGATTACCCCCTGCCGAACCAACCAAATCCGCGACAGGCAGGCAGCAGAAAGACCAATCAAAAAGGTGAATTGAGGTGGGGGGTGGGTATATGTTAGGTGTCTGAAAAATGATCAAAAGACGAACGGCTTTTCTGTCCACAAAGAAACGAAAAGAAAAACATCTGAGAGATGAAGTGCTACGAAAACGATCTCACTCCAGCGGGGGTGGGCGATGCTATGGTCTCGATCTCCGTGTCTCAGAAAAGGAAAAACGACACCAAATTGTTGTCGACCTGGGGTGCCGGTATACCCTGTCTCGCAGGACGAGCAAAGAGCTTGCTGGGCACAACACTGCACAGGCTTGCAATCCAAAGTGGCAGCTTTTGTCCAACCGGAAGAATACCTGGTATTCACAGAAGACGAATGCACTGTGGGAAGGCAACCAAAATTATTGTATCGGAAGCTCCCCTCGCGCACTTTGTGGGGGTCTGTTTGTTGGATTGACGCTTGGTCAGATGCGCTGAAGCGAGAGAGAGAGAGAGAGAGAGAGAAAAAATAGTGGCTCCTTTTTATGCGTAGATCTGGGATTTGTGCAAAGCTCTCAGCAAGGCGTCGTTTGCAAGGTATCGGAAGTAGCTAGGTGAATTAGCCTCGTGTCGCCAAGTGCCAGCGCCGAAGATTTTTATTCTGTGGAAGAGAAGAAATGGAATCAAGAATGTTATTTTGTTTCAGTTTAATGTTGCTTTTTTCAAGCTGATGCATTGCTTTTCATCTCTTTTAATTCGCTTCCGTCATGTTAAGACGCTTGATTTTTTTTTTTGGGGGGGGGGGTCCTTGTTCGTCCGTGTGTCTGTCTGTGTGACTGTCACTCTTTCTGTGCCTATAATTTGTCTAACAGTTTTCTTTCGGTGTCTCTCTACGTGTGCGAAGAGGTGGGTTTAAATGTGTGTGTGTGTGTGTGTGTGTGTGTATGTGTGTGTGTGTGTGTTAATGTGTGCGTGTGGGTATGTGTGTG